CGACACCCGCTCGCCGCAGCTCCGAAGCAGGATGCAATTCTGTCCGTTTCTGGTCCACTAAAGCGGCACCCACGGTACGTACTCCCTCTTTGACGTTGCACTTCGTCGCCACGCGGAACGCCGGGCAAGCGCAAGGACCACCCGATGCTCCACCTGCCAGGGCCAAGTCAGACAGGGAACAGAGGTGCTTCGGTGCCGCGGGATCGTCTGCTTCAGGATCACCTGGCTAATGCGGTTCCTGAGCTGTCCCTCAGCCACAGCGCTGTCACTCAATAGGCTGCCGTTCTTTCGTCTGAAGTTTCCGAAGCCAATGCGTCGCCTCCTCGAGCAACTCGATGGGAGGCCAGCGAAACATTCGTTTCACGACCGAGAGAACCTCGTCACTTGATAGCATCGCATTGATACCACTGTTCACTGCCCTTCTGGTATGACCTCTCGCCCGACCCCAATGCCGAGCCATCCTCTTGCTGACTGATCGTCATGGCGTAGCCGCCCTCGGTTTCCTAACCACTTAGGTCCTTAGGTCTCGCCCCTTGTCCGATCCGCCGAATCGTCGACGACTCACCTTACATATCTTGCCTAGCCCCCACGTACATTCCTCCACTATGGATGACCGAAGACATGAGCAGGAACCGCTCTTGAGCATCATGGAGCGACAGCAGGCCGACGAGCCTACGAACCGGGCAAATGCCACAGAACATCCCGATGCGCCGCTTGAGGACAGCCCTCGCCGCGAGCTCGAAGTCGATGACGATTCCGGCCCATCGACACCCCGGTTCATGCAGGACGAAGGACACTGGAAGCGTTGGAGATGGGTGCCATTCCCGGTGCGCCGCATCGTGAAGGCTACCGCGAAATGGTCCACAGGTCCGCCAAACCCACACGATTACAAGATCAAGCCCATCTTTCCTCAGGTTCAAGAGTTCCCTCTTGTGTTGGTTGATCGATACCTCCGAAAACTCAAGCACCGGGTCGGCATCGTTTTTCTTTACTTCGCCATTTGGATCATCACATTTGCTTTGGTCAAGAGGAGCGAGACATTCGCTACAGAGGTTGAAGGTTGGGGAGCCCCCTCGCAGATTGGATGTGGTGCAGCATACTGGACGAGAGGAAATAACTGCGGCCTCAATGGTGCGGATTGCCGCCCGTTCAATGGCAGCGGCTTTGCCTTCAGGTGCTCAGCCAACTGCGCCGGCTACATGGTCTTGAATCCAAGAGCGGTCGGAGACCAGGAGATTGTCTACCAGCCGCTTGTTATCGGCGGACAAACCGACAACTCGAGCTTGCCGATTTACCGAGGAGACTCGTTCATCTGCGCCGCTGCGATTCATGCCGGTGTGATATCCAACGATAATGGAGGTTGTGGTGTCGTCCGCCTCGTTGGGCGAAACGAGGACTACTTGAGCTCGGAGAAGAATGGGATCGACAGCATCAGCTTTGACTCCTACTTTCCACTCTCGTTTACGTTCGAGCCTGGCATTCAATGCCGCGCCAAAGACCTGAGATGGAATTTGTTGGCGGTCTCGGTTGTTTTCACGACGGTCCTCTCTCTGTTCACGTCATCACCTTCCCTCTTCTTCTTCTCAATCTTTACTGGCATGTTTTGGCATGTCGGGCTCGCCTCCGACCCCCCAAATCACTACTCGGTTGCGGACCTAGTATCGAATATCGTTGGCAAATACCTCCCGGCAATGTTCTGCGCCTGGGTCATGTTTGACAAGATGGGAATTCGACGGACGCTCAATGGGCTTACCGCTCAGGTGGAGAAGACGATCTTATGGCTCGGTGGTTGCTGGGTCGGTGCGCTTACCAACTATACCTTTAGCTTCATTCCGATTCAGCGTCTGAATGCGCATGATCTGAACCAACAGCCGGGAGCAAAGGCAGCGTTGGCCATCATCATCATCGTCTTGGTGGTGATCACCGCCAAGCAAATCTGGTATTTTAGACAGGAGGGCCGTCTCCTGAAATACCTCAAGCTGTACCTCCTCTTCGTGGCGGGTATTATTGTATGCCTTGTCCTGCCAGACCTGAGCCTACGCATCCACCACTACATCCTGGCGTTACTCTTGCTCCCGGGAACGAGTATGCAGACCAGACCTTCACTGCTCTATCAGGGCATTTTAGTCGGTCTCTTCATCAACGGCATCGCCCGCTGGGGCTTCGACGCTGTTCTCCAGACACCTGCGGCCCTCCAAGGCGATGCCCAGCACGGGTCGGTCTTGCCCAGCATTCTCCCACCCGTCATCGACCTGGGTCAAGCTATGTGGAGCATCAACTTCACTTGGGCTACTCCTCCCGATGGAGCGCGCTACGACGGCATCAGCGTTCTTGTCAACGATGTAGAGCGCTTCCGAACCTACTTTGACGACGGACCCGTACCTCCAACGAGTTTCCTCTGGAGTCGCCAGAGCGATCTCGGCATGAACGAATACTTCCGTTTTGGATTCATGGAAGGCAGCGAGAGCTATGACTTTACTAAAGCTGGCATTTGGAATGCGGAAGGTAAATGGATAGACATGCAGCCGGGCCCTTCGATGATTAGGGGTCGGTCACTGGTAGATGATGACGAGAGCGTGCCACGGTGAACTTTGATGCGTGATGAACCTGCTTTTGCTTTAGATGTCTAGAATAGCGTACGGATTTGAAATATCAGAATTTGTTCACTACCGCAACCTTTTCGTTCTGCTTTGATCAACCGACGAATTTGAGCAAAACTTGGACTCTTTTGATTGTAGTGGTATCTTAGTGTGAATGAGAATATGCTACCCAAAAAAACAAAACACCAAAGTTCGCCCAGATTACTCGGTCTTGTCTGCATCAAGATCACACCCCCCTTACGCTCCCTGTCTGCGGCGGCAAAGGGGACGACCACGCTCGAGCGTGTTCGGGTCGCAATCCAACCTGCTGTCTTCAATGCAAGTCAAGCTTGAGCCGCCTAATCACGGAGAATCTCATTAGCAAACGGCAATACATAAAAAAGACCCATACTAGAATGCAAGGGGCTCGGAGTGAGCCTTACAGTTGTTGATGCTGTCCGGAACACAACGGCCAGTCTGACCGTTGACGTTGCAGACGTCCTGCTTCAAGCTCGTGTTGGCGACGCAGCAGGCGCCGTTGGGGACGGGCCGGTTGGCGTTTGCGCCCTGGCGCTCCATCAGGAGGACGTCGCGGCGGGCTGCGGCCGAGGTGGGGTCCTCTACGGCTGCGGCGCTGGCGCCGATGGCCATGGTGAGGGCGAAGAGGGCGGTTTGGAGTGTGAACTTCATTGTGCTTGGATGTGTGGTGTTCGGCTTGGGGTATCTCGAGGAAAGAACTGATGAAATGATGTAATTTAAAGTTACGGATATAGTAGAAAGACGAAAAAGAGTGTCCGGCCGGCGGTAGAGAAGCAGAAGAGACTGAACTGTGGTGATGGGGTCAGAGATAGTCAAGGGGAGATGGGACGAGCGAGAAATGGCTATTATATACGTCTGCTCGGGAGTTGGAGCATGAGGCCCGATTAAGCTTCCCCTCCCTTAAGTGTCAAGTCTATAATCCCGTTAAGGTGGCTCACGATGTGTCAAAACGAACGCCTCCTGACTTCAGCCGGCCAACTCTCAAACAAGCGAGCAACTCGACGCGAGGAGACCGGACTATTCGGATTTTGGTTCCCAGGATCTTACCGACGGGATGATGAGAGATCTAATGCAAAATCCTGGCAAAGAATGGGGAGGGCCTGGCACCTCTCTCCCCTCTTCTCGGCTGAGCCAGCCGTAAGCGAATAGGAGCACATTTCACTCTCGCTTGCTCGTATCCCGAAGCAGAGATCTTGATCCTCAAGAAGAGAGAGAAGGGTGACGAGAGGAAGAAGAAGGGGGCCTGTCGTCTCATGCAACATCCCAAAAGGGATCGAAGCCAAAAGAAGCTCAAGTACGGATGAGACGAACAGGGGTGAGGGAAAGGGCTCATTTCTTTATTTTGGCAGCCTCTCCGTCACGATGCTTGAACGCACAGGTCCAAATATGGATTAGTCCAAGGGATGTGTTCGGGAGATGCGGCGACGATGTGACGGTTTGGGGTTTTGCGGTGTAAGATGGTAGGGATTTTTTCGTCTGGACAGTCGATGAAACGTGTAAGAGGCAGGGGGTGGTAATCGTGGGCTTCCCCTGCCTTTCGGCGAATCGCCGTCGGTAGAAGAGGCCGAATTGTCGGGGGGAGGCGTGACTAACAGAATTTGAAAGGTAACTCTTCCTGAGATGCACGGGAGGAAGAGGAGATGGACTTCCATTTTCAGGTCACTGGCGTGTAAGTGAATTACGTAGGCTGAAATGGGCATTGTAAATGCGCCTTACGAGATCCTCGGTGACCACCACGACGAGTGATTTGAGTTGGGTGTTTCTATGAAGTATCTGCAAGTACACAGTATGTAGAGCGTTCAAGCAAATGCCACAGGGCCGTGGTCTAGAACATATTGGGTGATGGGAAAGATCTGCCGAATCTATCACACATCGTGGGGTATCGTCCCAGTGACGACCTTTTGATCCACCAAACAATACGCATCCCCGATATCTGCCGTCTGATCTCAGATGGCATGTAGATCATCTTCGGACTTCAATGACCCAGGAGTCGTGAGATTGTTCTCAAGTTCAGAAGTCTTACTCGCTTTCTTCTATATTGAACGTGGAAATAGAGCTCTGACAACTCAAGAGGTGCTTCTGGCACGGTGTCAGACGTACGCAGTTTTGAGCAAGACCTTCACAATCAGCCGTAGAATGTCCGTAACCGATCTAGATGTGCCTCTGGGACGGAATCAATCAACGAACGAGTTGTCGATCTTGAAAGTCGCAACGACAGTACGCGTGCAATGGCATGCTTCACGCCCAACTACATGTTGAAAGCACTGTCATTCTCCGATGCAAGCTTGGAACAGTAAGAAAATTGGTTGAAAGTTGCTTTAAACATTTATTGAGAATATCCTCGCGAGCCGCCAGAGCCCAAAACGAGTCTTACACCAACCCATCCCCTCTTATGCCGGTCACATTAACCCCGACCTAACCTCTGCGACATACGTGAACTCCCTTTACTCCTCGTCCTCCTCCTCAGCAACATCAGCAGCCTCGACAACAGCCTTGCTCGCCGTCTTGGTTCCCTTCTTCCCCGTGCCCTTGGCCCCGGCAGCGCCAGCGTTTCCTCCGGCGGCCTTGATGGACTGGTCAACGACGTCACCGGCCTTCGTAGCAGTGGCGTCGTCCTTGGGCACCTCGGTGGCGGCCGGGTTGTCAGTGGAGGCGTTGAACTTGAGGGCGGTCGCGGGCTTGCCGGCGTTGGCGACGTCGTCGGCAATGTTCTTGTTGAGCTTCTTGGTCTCCTCGTCCAGCTTGGCCGTCACGTTCTTGCCCTGCGCCTGCTGGGCCTGCAGGCCCATGACGGTGGCCGTGAGCTTGAGGACCTTGTTCTGGATCTTTGCGCGCTGTGGTACCGTTGTTAGTCGCCTGGTTCAACAGATTGAAGAAGATCCCGATATCTTACCTGAAGAGCCAGGGCGTCCTCGCCGGGTGCCGTCTTTGCGATTTCGACATTGTAGGCACCGCGCTCGGCCTGGTTGGCAATCTTGTTGACGTTGTTGAGGAAAGCCAGATCCGCCTTGTCGACGGTGGACAGGTCCGTGGGCAGACCGCTCAGCTTCTGGAGGGCGTCCTCCTTTGCGGTGCCGGCATTCTTGCCGCTGATGGATAGCTCGTCAAAGGTCTTGGCCGTCGTGAACACGGCGGCGCGCTTCTGGAGCCTGCTGCCGGACCAAGAGATGTCCCGGGAGGGAGCGGCCGAGGCAACGGCGACGAGAGTAGTGAGAACGGCGGAGAACTTCATTTTGTCTCGGTGTTTAAAATAGTTTATAAGAAAAGAAGGGTAATAATAGAAAGCAACCGATTATAGATGTTTCTTGAGCGAGAGACGGGTCTGTTGGAAACGACAGCACAGCTGTGAAGAAAGAAAAAGTGAAGGTATTGGAAATGAAGCAACAGAGATTGACTTGATGAGAGAGCTGGGTATCCGAACAGCCCGGCGGGATGTCTGACGATCTTATAGATCGAGTGGAGGCCTTCCTCCATCACTGCCTTACCTACACCTAACAAGCTCATCTCAATGTTGTCTCTCCATCCATGGAAGAGCATTGACGCTATAGGAAGAACGTTCGGCGGCGCCGTCGGAAGTGACCAAATCTCGCCAGCGTGTAACGATACCCGCTTCTCGTCTTCTTCCTCGAAAGAGGCAAAGAGAAGATCGAGGAAGCAGGGCTGGCGGCGGGCGCGGAGGCCGTTTCAGGGTGAGATCATTCCGTGCTGGGGTCTATGGACAATCATTTTGTACAAACATAGAACGGGTCCTTCGCTGCCTTGCGGTGAAGAACGCTGTCCGAAAGAGACGGAGATTGGAGGAGAGAAAGGGAGTCTGGAGACCCGACAAGCGGTAACCACACTGGTGGATCGTCTCTCTCGACGTCTAAAGACGCCGGTGCCGGGGCCTTCCTTGTCCTGCACGGAGGCTGAGCCTTAATGCCATCCCCTCCACGTCGAGGCGTCTTGCATGTCGTCTCATGATGTGATGGCGACGAGTAAGGTACAGAAGTTGGAGAAGAGAGTCAGGACACGAGAAAAAGGCCTCGAGTCAGCCGGCGCAGCACAGAGTTGTGCGTGCTTTTGCTGCGACGAACACGCAACCACTTGGCCACGAGGCAACCGCCGCCTGCTGAACTGTGCGGGAAGATTGCAGGACAGCCAGCACGGAGTGCTCTGAGGGAGATTGAGGTTGCTGGCTGACGGCGGTGCTGAAGTGCGGCTCTCGCTCATGCGAGAGGAAAAGTCAATCTTGAGACGAGTTTTACTGATGTTTTTGACAGCCTGAACCTAGAAGAAGAGATGAGATTGGTGTCTGTGTGAAGAGCAGCATGAGCGTGAGGGTCAGATTTAGCCGCTAGGTCGCTTCGAATCCATCAGAAAGATGAATGTCTAGACCTCTCCCCCAGATCTAACGTCCCGCATGTGTCCCTGAAGAAAGTAATCATGGATAGATTGTAAGGTTATTGCCCCCCATATTACACGCTCACGGGAAACATACGGTGGGCTAGAAAGGTCGGGTAGGCGGGAGGGAAGTGATTAAAATCAGCCCTGTAGTGATTGTAAGCATTGAGAGGCTGAAAACTGTTAATCTATCACACATGGCGTTTGAAGCTTGTATTTCGTCGGGGAAAAGTGGAGACGACGGTTGGGTTATTTTCTGCCTGTTAATTTACGTCTTGTTCCTCCACTCACACAACGCTCACTCGCCACTGCGTGAGCAAGAAAAAAAGCTCGTGTCACTGTGAGTTCAAAGTTCAAACTCCCAGTGTGAGGAGCCGAAGGTCCCGCCCCACTTGGAGATAACTTCACCTCATCCGACCTCACTGCTCAACCCATCCACACACACGCCTATTCCTGCCCACCTCACGCAATCAACACTTCACCAGGCCAACCCAGCCCGTAAACGCTAAACATACGCGGCTTGTCGGACTTTGTTCCTTCTCATCGCCACTTACCAAATCCCGGCCGAAAGATAAGTCCAGAACAACAAGGGTGTACTCTCGCCCGGCTACTCAACGCATCACGTTTCCCAGAAACCGCAGACTTTCCACCCACACTCAACCTAAACGCCAAGACCACAATCCAGACTCACATCAACAACCTAAACAACAACCAAAAAAAAAAAAACAATGCCTCCCCGGATCCCAACCCCAGAAGACTTCACCCAAGTCCAAAAAGTCCTCCCCCTAACCCTAGCCTTCCCAAATCCCCCAGAATCCACAACCGCAATCCTCCTCCTCTTCCACGGCCTAGGCGACTCCGAGGCCCCCTTCGCCTCCTTCGCCCGCGCAATGTCCCTCCCGGGCGTCCTCTCCATCTCCCTCCGCGGTCCCTCCCCGCTGCCCCCGTCCATGCTGCCCGATGACGGTCACCCCTCCTCCACCTCCTCCGCAAACCCCGGTCACTTCCACTGGGGCGACGACATCACCTTCGACCCCTCCACAGACGCCCTCGCCACGGACCCGGGCTTCTCCAAATCCTCCACCCTCGTCGTCGACCGCCTCATCCGCGACGCCCTTGTCGCCCGCTGCGGCTGGGAGCTCAGCGACATCATCCTCTTCGGCTTCGGCCAAGGCGGGTCCCTGGCCTTGGGCATCGCATCGCAGCTCCGTCTCGGCCCAAAAGTCGTAGACGTGACTGAGTCCTCCAATCCCACCCCTGCTGCTTCCTCTGCATCTAAAACCAAGAGGAACGACAGCCACTTTGACGAAAACACCCTCAAAGGCGTCCTCTCGATCGGAGGTCCCCTGCCACCCTCCATGGTTCCCACAGTCAGCACGCGGGGCAAGTGCAAGACGAAAGCGTGTCTTGTCCAGCTTGACGACGACGCCTTTGACGCCGTAAAGGAAGAGTTCCTCGATGTCAGAGTCGTCAACTGGAAGAGGAAGGACGTGGCCATGCCCCGTGATCGGGACGAGATGTTCCCCTTGATGCAGTTCTTCGCAGAATGCCTCAAGAGCGGTTGGTGAAGTGGCCTTGAGCTAAACGAGTTACGAATCGAACTGGACACACAGACTCGACTACTTTGACTGACGATTCCTCAGCGTTGGCCGCGCCTTGGATGATGACAGACTTGATCCTTGCTTACTTTCCTCAACTTAAAAGAGGAGCTTGGGTGGCTGGCTGGCAGACAAAGCAGTGACGTGAGGTTCGTCGCTCCTAATCATATGGAAACTTGGACCATGTCACTTCTCATTCAACTGCACAAGGTTTGAGGCGGTAATGAGCATATGGGATACTAGTTATTGACTGTTGAAAAATGCCTCCAAGGATCGTGGCTACGGACTATAATGATAAGGCTATTCAGCGGTTTGTTTCTTTCTCTTCATTACCTCCTGTTCGCCCCCAGAGATGTAGTCGAATCTACACCATCAACTGTGCGATGATTGCAGCGGGGCCGGTGCTGTCGAAGCACGGCCAATGTCTCCCAACTGGTGGGGGTTCGGCTTCTGGTTCTCGGGTGCCGGAGTCGCTGCGCTTGATTGCATTGCGTGTTGCTTTGGTTCGCCCTCATCAACCTTGACCGTGGGATCTCCGCTGAGAGCATGCGGAGCCGTCTGGCCCTGCATACTGACCGTTTGGTCGTCGTGGACGCTGTGGGGCACTGCTCGTGTACTGACTGGCGCCATGACATCCTGGCTAAGCCTGTGATCGTGTACAGGAGCGGCCGTCTTGGTTGTCAAGTCATTGTGTACCGTGTGCTCCGTTGGCTCTTCAGTTACGTTGACGGTGGGGTCCTGGTGAACGCTATGAGGGAGGCTGGCAGCCGGTGTCGCTGTCTTGGGATCTATATTAATCTGATGAGGGGACAGCCGTCGAGCCACTTGAACTATTGGGTCCTCGTGGACAGTATGCGGATGAATCTCCTCAGCAATTCCAAAGAGAGGATCATTGTGAACAGTATGCGGGAACTGTCTGTTTCCAACTGGCCTCTTTTGGTCTTGACTGAGCCGGTGGGGCTCAGCGAAGTCAGCTACCGTGACGCGAGGATCTTGGGAACTCAGAGTAGGACTCTGACTTTGCTGGGTGTCCGGAGTTCTCGCAGGAGTGTGTTTGTTGCTGGTAGGAGGAGGCAATTGCTGGGAGCTGGCTTCCGGGGTAGCCTTCGCCGGCGGACTTTGTGGCTTTGCCCTCTCCTTTGAACTGCCGGATTCAGGTAACTCGACAATTCTCGGTAGGCTCTTTTCCTTCATCTGCATCTGCGCGGGCGACTCATACGGATGGTTGGGCTGAGGCTTGAAGCGACGAATCTCAACTGGTGGGGGCCCTGGCGAGAAAGGGTAGGTGTTAAACTTTTTACATATTTTCTCTCGCACCAGGACTTCATTATGATTCCCCATCAGAGTCCAGAATGGGTGGGCACAGGCGTGAAGTTCGTCGTCCTCGGTGCTACCCGTGATGGCATATCGGTTCCGAATGTCACCACGTTGGTTGCTGAGCGGCCTTCTCCAGTTGCACACTGCAGCAGTCAGATAATGCCTGCAAGATTTCTTCAAAGAGTTTCCTTACTCATAGAGCTCAGGAAACACGACCAACATGGACTGCTGCAACCACCTGAAGGTGGAGTTAAAGGGTCCTCGCCATAGGCAGCTCGCTCGAGTCTCTCGGCGGTACGAGCATACACCATGCATGGGCACAGCGCTGCTTCTGTAGTAATCTCTCGTTGCTTCGCTAGCCAATTGTGCGATCGGACCTGTCCCATGATGGGCTGTTTGTCTGGCTCTCGTCGTTGTACTGTCTCCGTTGAATTGTTCTCGCGCCTCCGTTGCCCTGCGCTGCTGGATGCTCGCGTGTTTTTGGGTCGGTCCATGTTGATCTGAGGGTGAATAATGCAATCTAAAGAGGATGATCGATGATGTAAGTAATGTCAAACGAAAGACCTAAGTAGCCAAGACGTACACGATGGACGGTCCCTAGAAGGTTAGATGGATGATGGAAGTCAATGAACGATGTCAGTCAATGAACGATGTCAGTCTGTGGTAGCTAGGGATTACTGGAGGGAAAGGGACAGTTCCTTTCTAGCAAAGTCTCAATCAAGCAGGCAGTGTGCACTTGCAAGATGCTAAAGGCTGGGCCTTCCTGGATTGACGTCGCTGCCGCAGTCTTTTGCTAGAAATACGCAAGAATTGCCTCTGGCTAGGCCAGGCCCGGCATGCACACGAGGGATTGCCTTCCATCCATTTTGCCACTCGTTTATGGCGGAAAGAAGTAGGGCGAGATTGCAAGCAAGCCAACCTTGACTGTGCGTGGTTCAAGTGCCTGCCTCCTCGTTCCATGACAATGAACAATGCTCGCATCAAGGAATTGTGCAAGCTAGCAATTGGTGCCGCTACGATGATAGTCTTGGTAATAGGGACGGTAATACAACATTGATCGTTCTAATTGCAGTGAGCCAACCCAACCGTGGTGGTATCCACGAACGGCTCCTGTCACCTCACCCTTATACCGCAGCCCAAAATGCGCCGTGACACCATAATATGTTGATGAAGGGAGGGTTGTTTCCATTCCGATTCCGACCCTGCTCTACTCGGCCTTGACTCGCACCGCAGTCTGCTATTCCTCGGCACGCTCTTCCTCTCTCCAGCCATTCGAACTTCGGGAAGCGCCGTTATGTAATGATCTTAGAGCTGTGCTCCGAGTCTTATTCGACCATCTAGGCCGTGTCAGCGATAGTAAACGAGAATTTTTACGGCACACTCACATTTTGACCTTGCCATCGTCGCCACATGAGGCCAACATACAAGGGTCTGCCGGGTTCCAGGTGACAGCGTTAGTTCGAGGTTGATGCCCCTCAAGTCTCTCCACTGCAGCGCCGCTATTCTTGTGCCAGATGAGGATGTTTCCATCTAAATGCAGTTTGTCAGTGTCTGCCATCATACACTCAGTCACTATTCACATACCTTCACTGCCGCTTACAACGAAGCTCTCGTTCGCGCCGCCAAAAGCACTCCGAATTATGAAGTCGCCCCCAGTGTGACCCAAGAACTTCTGGACCGACGTTCGGTTTACCAGATCTATCAGTTGCAGCTCGCCATCCTTTTTGTTAAGGAGCAAATGCCGTGAATCTTCGCTAATACTCACGCATGTCGGCCGCGACTTGACCTCCATTTCGTACTCTAGCTCGCGTGTGAAGGCGTTGTAGACGTGAATCTTCTGTTCGTCGTCGACAGCCACGAGCCAGTGACCGTCCGGAGAACCACAGATGTCCTGAACTCTATGCTTTTTGCCCCATTCGCACATCATCTCGCCAGAGATGCTCCACGTACGCAAGCCGTGTTGCTTGTCTAGAGATCCGGTAACAAAAGTCTTGCTGTCCGCCGCCCACACACAGCCACTCGCAGGCTCCTCAAATCGCTCGAGCTTCAAAACTAGCTCTCCAGTCTACGGATATGTTAGCACCAGGGTCGAGGGAAGTTCTGTGAATGGAAATTACGCACCGTGGTGTCCCACAGCCTGGCATACTTGTCCTGTGAGCATGTGACGATCATGGAGTCATCGGGGCTCCACGACAGACCACCGACACCCTGAGCATGCGGACGCAAGATTTGAGAGACCGAGAAAGAAGGCAAGTCCCAGATGACAACAGCTTCGCCGCTTCCACAAGCAGCCAGTCGCTGGCCGTCGTGAGAGAACAAAACTTGCCAGACTTCGCCAGTCAAGTCTGTGAGCTCTAACGCGACGTCAGTAGGGAAGTGACTCCGTTCACAATAGTGATCAGAGTATAATGAAGGAGATGATGCGGTTGTATGCCAGAGGCAGCTGTCTATTTGGCTCTGCTTCACCTGCTGTAGAAGAACGGCAAGACGATTCTCTGGCAGCATAACCGAGGGCGAGATGCATTCTATCCTTTTGTCAATACTCTATCTGTCACTACAGGCATTGGTGATACTCACTGGACAGTTCAGACAGCAGGACCTTTCTCGACTGGCCGTGAGCACCATCCCATTCGGCCTTAGCCTTCAAGTCTTCTGTTGACTGGCACATGAGAAGACTGGAGAGGAAATGGAGCTTTTGAGTATCTTGGTATAGCGGCGTCAGCTCGGTTCGCAGCACCATCAGAGCCCGGGGAGTATCTCGCTGCTCCAACAACTCGAGAAACTTTTGTTGCCGCAGCCAAAATCGCATGACATTCCGGTCAGAGCCAGGGGCCAAGACGAGACCGTTCCCGGGTTGGCTTCGATCCTCGGACATGACGGCTCCGAAAAGCAGCTCTTCGGCTTCACTCCACTCGCCGCTAACGACTGCGCTCCTAAAGGCGGCGACCGTCGGGCTCTCTAGCTCGTAGCCGCTATCTTTGCTCACGCTCTCGGCAGCACCCTGGTATCCCATGTCGGACAGAGCCTGTATGAGTATGCGGGTGACCTCTTCGCGATCATGTCCATAATAGGTTGAGGGAACGGGTGTCTGAGCTTCCTTGTCAGAACGGGATGACCCGTTCAGGGCAGCGGCTTTGCGAGCACCGTTTGTCGCGGAGGCAGTCGGCGGGGCCTCCGTCGTTGCGCCGTTGGAGTACGTCCTCGACGTTCCATTTGAGGCTGCTCCATCGCCGTCTGAGATCATGGTGGAGTCTCCTCTTCTGCGTTTTGAACGATGTAAGCCGGTTCGACTGGCAGCCGCGGACGAGGTAGGAGAGTCTCCCCGGTCCGCGTCGGAAGCTCTTCGTCTACGGCCCAAGACCTGACGGGGCGCCGAGGGAGATGCTATCGCTTCGGGGACAGTCGAGGAGAGTTGGACGGCGGTCGGTTGGTAGTGGCTCGAAGTTGTAGAATCGTCAGAAGAGGAGGGGCGGGAAGCCGCGGGGGCTTGGGTCGGAACTGCGGTTGAAGATGTCTGGTCCGGCGGGGTGGGCACTTGTTGGTTGGCTGGATCAAGATGGGAAATGGAATTCGGATTGTAGTTGGGGTCCAGGTCGGCCTACGTTACCGCGGGAAGGCCCCGCGGTTGCTCTGGTCGGTCGATATCTTGGAAGGGACGGCGACGCCTATGTTATGGTAGGAATGTTGTGGCGAGTGCTTTGTCGCTAGGCGTTTAATTACAGAATAGCTCGAGAGAGGGTCGTGGTGCGGACTGGACGCGGATGCGGACGGACAGACTTGTGGGCGTACGGTGCAGTAGGGCGAAGCAGATGAGGTGCGTGAGATGGGAGGACGAGGTCTGGGAGCTGAGAGAAGGTGCGTGAGGAGGGAAGAGAGAGCGAGGGAGAAACGTGGGCCGTGAGACGCAAGGTAGTGTAAGATGGGAGGTGAAGCTTTGAAGTTTGGAGTTCATGGACGCAGGTGTCGGGGTTGCTAGATGGCAGAGGTCATACCTAGGTACCTTAGACGTCTCCTTGCCTTCCAGGTTCCATTACCTCAATGCCGGTGATGGGTAGCACTCTGTACCTTCTCTGTAAGGTGTTCGGTAGCACAGTACCTCTGCAGACGCAGCCTTCACTTGCCGGGAGAGGTCGCTACGTAGGCTGGGAGAGACCCGTGGCCGGCAGCGGCGCACTGCTGCAGCACCCTGACTGGGCAAACGCAGGGACAAGCGGGCAAGCAGATGACGGGATGCTTCTCGATTGGACACCCGGCAGTGTCTCTGCGCACAAAGGTGGAGACGGATGACCTGCTTGCTGGGGTGGTTGGAGGAACGACTCACTAAACGCAATCTGGGACAGTGAAGCTCACTAACACACCACCCAAGAACACCAGAAGGATCTCAACCCGCCTTACCTTGCCTTAAATGACCAGACTGAGAGGGGGGAAGAGGGTCACATGCTTGGCTAGTATCTCTCTCATGAATCAGTGAAGTAGAAGGGCGATTTACAACAGATGGCCTATAACGTTCTCTCGCGTCAGGACAAATGGCTGGGGAAGCTTATCAGTCGGCTCGGTGGATATCTCCGAGAGAGAGCAGAGGTTAGGTAGGTTACCTCTCCACGGTAGTACCTGAAGAACATGACAGTCACACACTTTGCGAGACGTTCCCAAATTACACCAGTTGCTGTCGTCAATATGACGAGACGTTCATCTTTCAAAGTGTCTCGGCACAAGGCATCGTCCATATAGAAAGTGTGGACGAACATGCAGTCTGCCGTCAGCCGTCTTGATCGAGGTTGCATGTCGCACTGCCGGCCACTTAAACGCACCTCAGCTGCCAGAAAGTCTCCAACGCCTCAACGCCTCATGGAAGTGCCCTGGTCCAGCTCTTCACCGGTTCCTTATCGCCATTCGTTGTTTCGGTCCGGGCGTTGAAGCAACGAACCCTTGTCCAGGTGGTATGCAACTTGCTGCAGTATCTTGCGTCCAGCTGTAGAAGACTGAGGATTGATTCAAGCCTACCTAAATTGCCAGGCAATAGACTACGGCAAAGCTCCCAAGGATGCGCCAGTAGACATTTATTCTTTTGTCAGTTGAACTGGATTCTGGAGGTACGTATCGACTTTTCTCGCAGCCAGCTTATGCCGAGGTGCATGTATTCTTTGGTGTGTCGAAAAAACTTGGGTTTCAGGCAATGCTTGGGGAGATAGCCAGGAGGAAATAGGTAATCAGAGGAACAAGACGAGCAACGACTGGTTAAAGGTGACTAAATTCTGAGCATCTCTAGACTTGCGTATTGCAGATTGGGTCAAATTGAGTTACTCGCCAGCGTAAACATCATTGCAAATGTTACTCGTATGGCACTTGCGTGGCACAAGTGACGTACGCTTAGGCACCTACTTTTTGTTCCAAAATGTCTAAAGGTGTGAGAAGTGCGGTGTACGGCGTACACAAGGTGTGCTTCCCATGAGACCAAGGTGTGTCAGGAGCTGTCCTCGGTGTACGGTGTACACTACCTACCTTCCTAAGGCCAGCCCGTCACGTGTGACACCTGTGCCCAAGTGGGAGAAGTGGGAGGTGGCCTGCCAGCCCAACGCCCCACCGAATGCTGTTTCGCTGCGCCTGTCGTTGTCGGCAGAGTGACAGGGGGGCTACGACACCAGTGGGGACCGGACGCATGTGGCTGGTGCGTCAGGGATCCCAGGCACACCTACAGTACTCTCAGTCTCGGGACAGCAGCAGCAACAACGTGTGTACCAAGTACGGATAGGCTCTTGACATCTGTGATCAGGGCCCGGTGCTTGCGACGTCTGCCTCCCACCATTCCTCAACCAAAAACACCTGCAAACTTGCAACTTGCACGATACCTCGCATCTTTGCTGATATACATACCCGTCGACGCCGACACAAAGGGGGTACTACGACTGCCCTCGATTTGATCTGCGCGCCCGCCCTCTTCCTCACCTCCTTCTCGAACCCCAACCCCCCTTTCCGGGAGCTTCCACGTATTGCGATTCAGGAGCCATCTGCGACACTACTCTCGACAAAGAAGTCTGTCCTCGACTCGACCCTGTCCTCTGCCCAACACACGACCACAACATCTCCCCAAAGCTCCACGCCGCATCGCAACAATGAGCGCGCCCCCCGCTTCCAGCCAAGGTGGTATCTCGGATCCCGCCTTGATCACGTACGTGACGCCCAGCAGCACCTCTCGACCCCTCGATGCACTTTGGAAGCTAACTATGCGCTGCCCCTCAGCCTCGTGAACAAGCTTCAGGATGTCTTCACAACGGTTGGCGTCACCAACCCTATCGATCTCCCTCAAATCGTCGTCGTTGGTAGTCAGTCTAGCGGTAAGAGTTCCGTCTTGGAGAACATCGTAGGAAGAGACTTGTGAGTGTGACAACCACCACCCGGCCCCGCCATCACATGTCTTCCAGCCCTCGAGGCATCTAACCACTTTGATCCTTTCAGCTTGCCCCGAGGCTCTGGAATTTGCACCCGTCGACCCCTCGTCCTGCAACTCATCAACCGTCCCGCGACTTCACAGAATGGCGTCGAGGAGGTGGAAAACAGCACCGACAAGGCGGCCAACGCCGACGAATGGGGCGAATTCCTCCATATCCCTGGCCAAAAATTCTACGACTTCAACAAGATTCGCGATGAGATTAGCAGAGAAACGGAGGCCAAGGTCGGCCGCAACGCCGGCATTTCACCCGCTCCCATCAACTTGAGGGTGTACTCCCCGAACGTTCTTACTCTCACCCTGGTCGATTTGCCAGGTCTGACCAGAGTGCCAGTCGGAGACCAGCCCCGCGATATCGAGCGCCAGATCCGCGACATGATTCTCAAGTACATCTCCAAGTCCAACGCCATCATTCTCGCCGTCACAGCTGCCAATATCGATCTTGCCAACTCCGACGGTCTCAAGCTCGCCCGCGAGGTCGACCCTGAGGGTCAGCGAACGATTGGTGTTCTCACCAAGGTGGATCTTATGGACGAGGGCACTGATGTGGTTGATATTCTGGCTGGACGCATTATTCCTTTGCGGTTGGGATACGTCCCTGTGGTCAACCGTGGCCAGCGAGATATCGACAACAAGAAACCGATTATGGCAGCCCTGGAGAACGAGAAGAACTTCTTCGACAACCACAAGGCATACAGGAACAAGAGCTCTTACTGCGGAACTCCCTATTTGGCAAGGAAGCTCAACCTTATTCTGATGATGCACATCAAGCAGACCCTGCCCGATATCAAGGCTCGCATCTCGAGCTCACTGCAAAAGTACTCTGCCGAGCTGGACAGCTTGGGACCCAGCATGCTGGGCAACAGCGCAAACATTGTTCTCAACATCATCACCGAGTTCACAAATGAGTGGCGGACGGTCTTGGACGGCAACAACACAGAGCTTTCCAGCACGGAATTGTCGGGTGGTGCGAGAATCAGCTTCGTGTTCCACGAGCTGTACTCCAACGGTGTCAAGGCTGTGGATCCCTTCGACGTGGTCAAAGATGTTGATATCCGTACGATCCTGTACAACTCGTCCGGTTCCTCCCCGGCTCTCTTCGTTGGCACTACTGCCTTCGAGTTGATTGTGAAGCAGCAAATCAAGCGCCTGGAAGACCCGAGTCTGAAGTGCGTGTCCCTCGTCTACGATGAGCTGGTGCGCATTCTGTCTCAGCTCCTGGGTAAGGCGCTGTACCGCAGATATCCTTCTCTCAAGGAGAAGGTTCACACCGTGGTTATCAACTTCTTCAAGAAGGCCATGGAACCCACCAACAAGCTGGTCAAGGATCTCGTGGCTATGGAGGCATGCTACATCAACACTGGTCACCCCGACTTCTTGAACGGCCACAGGGCTATGGCTATGGTGAATGAGCGCTACAACCCTTCCAAGCCCGTCCAGGTTGACCCAAAGACCGGCAAGCCTCTACCGGGAGGCACTCCCAGAGCGTCCAGCCCAGTTGTGCCTGAAGATGCCGCCAACGGAGGCTTTTTTGGCAGCTTCTTCGCCGCGAAGAACAAGAAGAAGGCTGCAGCCATGGAGGCTCCCCCGCCGACACTCAAGGCTTCCGGAACGCTGTCAGAGCGTGAGAACATTGAGGTGGAAGTCATCAGTATGTCTCCTTTATCCCACTTTACTTGAGAAACGCTAACCATGAAATGCAGAGCTGCTCATCTCTTCCTACTACAACATTGTGAGGCGGACCATGATCGACATGGTTCCCAAGGCCATCATGCTTACCCTTGTTCAGTGAGTACACACACCAAGTTTCGTCAGTGAGATTTGGTCAGCTAACAGTAGGGCAGATTCACCAAGGACGAGATGCAGAAGGAGCTCTTGGAGAATATGTACCGCACCGACACTCTGGACGACCTGCTCAAGGAGAGCGACTTCACCATCCGCAGAAGAAAGGAGTGCCAGCAAATGGTGGAGTCCCTTGGCAAGGCCAGCGAGATTGTCAGCCAGGTCCAGTAAGAGACGCGAGACGACATACAAAGTGGCTTCTGAGAAGCACTCCAATTTTTTGCCTGCTGAGATGCTGGCCGCCCCATGCTTCCGGGGGCACGAAAACTAGAAAGAGCGCGGCGTTCAGGCGGTGAAATCTTCCCAAAAATCGTCGGCGGAGACCCTGGAGGCGTGGGAGGCGGTAGACAATCGGACAGCAGCGGTTGCGGTGATAGTCCTTTAATGAGAGTGGCATACATTTGTTTCTTGTGATGAAGACTGAATCAAGATGGCCAAAGAGGATATAGCAAGAGAGAAGCAGCAATGAAAGATCACGTTCCCAATCCGCTTTTCCTTTTCCTGTGAGACGCGCCTCAATTTCCAGTCGATAGCCTTTCTGAATTGGCATGTGCTTGGTTTGCGACACTTTACGGGGCGTTATCAATCATGCTCTACAGATTCATCATTCAGACGATCTTTCGAGACGCACGTTCGTCCCTCTTAAGGATCCGGCTAGCCGGCCGTTGGCTCCGGATTCAAGACTACTTCAATGTGACCAAGATCCGGTAGATCATGCAATCAAACTAAACCTTGACCTAGATTGGGATCACCTGGCGTTATTTCGTTTGGCGTATGGAAGGAAAGCTGGCGCGGCTCCAGACTCGATTTAGAGGGCGGATATAGGTATCAAAGTAGCGTTCATACTTCCGAATGCCAGCCACTATGGCATAAGAGAGGAGCAGATTGGATGCAGAGGAGAGAGGTACGGATACGTCTTGGAGACACGCAGGCGCACGGGGGTATTCGCCCGGTATTCCGTACTCGCTACCTATCGTGCTAACGAACATCTCCTTTTTTGGCTTTTTCACCTCATGTTACGTCGCGCTAGTGCGCAGGTTAGTGTTCCACGTCGGTCAATGCCTGCTCGCTGAGCTTGGTGAAACATTTCCCGGGTAGCGGGAAGCATCAGGGTAGCTTCCGTGCTCTGTCTCTCTCACACTCGCTCTCCGTCTCGAGGTTCCCTCCCCTTCCCCGCAGCATTGAATGGGAAAGCTTGAGCTCCGGGAGAGGGAGGTCTAGACAAGGTCTAGACGGATAGGTCGGGAGAGGGGAAGGGGAAAGGTAGACCGTAGAGGTAGGTATCTAAGAGAGAGAAGGGGGGAGATTGTGTTAATAAACTCACCGTGCCCTCCCTTACCTCCCTTTCTTTATTCATTCTCTGCGTGCATTGTTCCATATACGACTACAAACTTCCGACTTACCAGAACGTCATTAACCGAAAGACGCGGATATCTAGTGCTGTAAGAAATACAGCTACAGAGCTTCTTCGAAGAATTAGGCTTAGTAGCCAGGGTTCCAAAATTTCAAGAGAGGAACGAATCAACAAAAGAAGAAGAAAAAAGCCGACAAGATGATGGCAGTAGACTTCCTCCGCTCTCAATTCAAAAAGCTGCCCTACCCTTCCGACGACTGCGCCGGCCGCACCATCATCGTCACGGGCTCCAACGTCGGCCTGGGCCTCGAAGCGGCGCGACACTTTGTGCGGCTCAACGCCGCCAAGGTGATCCTCGCCGTGCGCAGCACCGACAAGGGCGAGGCGGCCAAGACGGACATTGAGCTGACGACGGGCCGGCGCGGCGTCGTCGAGGTGTGGCCGCTGGACCAGGCATCGTTTGAGAGCGTCAAGGAGTTTGCGGCGCGCGCGGACAAGCTGCCGAGGCTGGACTTTGCGGTGCTGAACGCAAGCATCGCGACCGGCAAGAGGGTCGACGCCGAGGGGTGGGAGAGCACGATTACGGTGAATGTGCTGAGCACGTTCTTGTTGGGGTTGAAGTTGTTGCCGGTGCTGAGGAGGACGGGCAAGACGCATAATGTTACGCCCAAGATTGTGATTGTCGCTTCGGATGCGAGTCAGATGGTGAGTTTTTGTTGTGCTTTTTTCTTGCCCTTCTCTGTCAAACTGCGTGTGATGCCATCCACTTACACGCACTTTCGTACCCCGCAGGCCAAGTTCCACGAACGCAACGAGGAAGACATTTACAAGGCCCTCAACACCAACAAGAGCCTGACGGACCGGTACAACACGTCGAAGCTGATGCAGGTGATCCTGGCGCGGCAGATGGCCATCGCGGCGGACGCGTCGGGCAAGGGGCGGGTGCAGGTGACGACGCTGAACCCGGGCCTCTGCGCGACGGCGCTGTTCCGCAACATCCCCTTCCCGCTGACCATCGTCGTCAAGGTCGGGCTGAAGCTGCTGGCGCGGTCGGCCGAGGTCGGGTCGCGGTGCCTGACGGCGAGCGCGTTCGCCGGCGAGGAGGCCCACGGGCGGTACATGAGCGACTGCGTCGTCGTGCGGTTCCCCAAGGTCATGCAGGGCGAGGAGGGGGAGCAGATGCAGGTGCGGGTGTGGGAGGAGACTGTGGAGCTGCTGAATGGAGTTGATCCCGGCGTTTCGATGAACCTTTGAATGCGCTTTTGGAGGTTGGGTTGAATGGTACTAGGTGTGATGATTCTGTTCGTGAACAATAATTTGCAAGATACCTTTTTGGGGGGAATATGTCATGTTTATTGCTCTCTGGGCAGTGTTAGGAATTGCTTTACTTTCTCACGCGAGTGTACTGGTATTGATCTGAAGCAAGGACATCTGAAGGATATCTACAATCTTGGACGACAGGCATGGCCCAAGTATCAAGGAGAAAATAGTCTTACAATGCCAAATCATCAATTCTTCCCGATTATTGTTATATCTACTATCTCATGCACAGAAGTGTACCTAACATAGAGTATAGGTACGCAGGGGCTGTATAAATTGTATCACATATCACCACTTAAGATGAATAAACTTCAATAAGGGCTGCTCTTGTGGATATGCACTTTGGGGTGCTTGGCACTCTCAAAAGTGATAGAAGTACGGAATACTCAGGAGCCAACGAAATCCCATCCCATCCCATCCCATCCCATCGGCCCTGTGTTCAAGTCCATTTCCAGCAACCACCTCACCTCAGCTTCAGGAACCCCACACCGAGAACATCATGCACCAGCAATAAGGTGCTCACCGTACCCCACAGTAGCTCCCGTCCCGTCCCCCCCGCGGTCCGGTGCCAGTACTAGGAGTTGCTTGTTTTCAGCAACTCCGACCACCCGCCCACAGGCGGACACTGCCTCGGCTTCTTGGGAGCTTCCCCAACTCTAAGTTTACCGGGCTCATGTCTCGGTCACAACTCACAACCGGGACGTCTTTATTTCACAATTCTGCAACAATTTCATCTACATGTATCCGTAAAGATTTCTTACAATATTACAAACGAGTACTTAGTAACCTGGAAACAAGCACATAAAGACCTTGTCATTATTCCAAGTCTTCTTATATTTATCCTCATCTTACTCTCAACCATCTTCAACATTGTCTAAGTGAAATACTCGGCAACCATGGTCGGCCCTCCGCCCCTAAAAGGCGTCAAAGTCCTCGAGTTCGCCGGCCTCGCACCGGGTCCCTTTGCAGGCATGCTTCTTTCCGACGCAGGCGCTTCCGTCCTGCGCGTCGACCGCGCCATCGAGGGAAGCCGCACGCCCCTGCCGACGGAAGACATGCTAGCCCGCCACAAGGCCTCCGTCGCCGTGGACTTGAAATCGCCCGCCGGCCTCGCCTTTGTCAAACGTCTCGCCGAAAGGGCAGACGTGCTCATCGACCCCTTCCGCCCGGGTGTGCTAGAGAAGCTGGGGCTGGGGCCCGAGGTCCTAGAAAAGGCAAACCGGGGCCTGATTTACGGCCGCATGACGGGGTTCCGAAGGGACGGGCGGTATAAAGACATGGCGGGCCACGATATCAATTACCTCGCCGTGTCCGGGGCGCTGAGCATGCTCGGCCGGGACGGGGAGAAGCCGCACCCGCCGTGGAACATTTTGGCCGACTTCGCTGGCGGCGGGGCGATGCTGTTCCAGGGGATCCTGATGGCGCTGCTGGCGAGGGAGAGAAACGGCGGGAAGGGCCAGGTCGTGGAGGCGAACATGGTGGACGGGTCGGCGTACTTGGCCACGTTCCCGCGGTTCGCGCTCAAGAACCCGCTCGGGGACAACGGGCGCGGGAGGAACATGCTCGACGGCGGGTGCCCGTATTACGATACGTACGAGACAAAGGACGGCAAGTACTTTGCGGTCGGGGCGCTGGAGCCGCAGTTCTTTGCGGCGTTTATCAAGGGGCTCGGGTTGGCGGGGCAGGGGTGGGAGGAGGAGAGGTTCGATCGGGCGAGGTGGGGGGAGCTGCGGGAGTTGTTCACCAAGATCTTTAAGAGTCGGACGAGAGAGGAGTGGGAGAAGGTTTTTGACGGGACGGACGCGTGTTGTACGCCCGTGTTGGAGTATCGCGAGCTCGAGACGGAGCCGGCGAGGGAAGGGGACCAGAGGCCGGCGGTGACGTTGGTGGAGACGCCGTGTTTGGCTGTGGCGGCTGGCGAGGATGGGGATCCGAGACGGGGGCAGGGGCCTGGTGTTGAGGGGGGAGGGTACGTCGGCGTTCCGCTTACGCCTGGCGATGGTGGTGAGAAGGCGCTCGAGGAGTGGCTTGGTTGGAAGAAGGGGAGAGAGTTTGAGGTTAGGGAGGGGACGTGGGTGCTTAAAGAGAAGTCTAGGCTATGAAAGACTGCCCGGTGTTGAAGATTGATATTTTGTAAGTATGCCTATAACTGTTGGGGTATTCGGTCATCCAGCACGCCTCCATCATATATAAGTTTTCTGGTGTTGTTCAGCGTAAACAAGTTGCTACCCCAGACCTTGTTCTTTTCATGTGTGTTTTAGTCACTACGTAACCTCATGTTAGCTTTATTGTCGTGTCAATAGCATGTAATCATGTGCTAACTTTCGCCAAGCATGAGCCGAAATGCGAAGACAGCGTGCCTCAACTCGGACTTGGTGGTGGGTTCGGCGGTGGTCGAGGCGAGGGGGGATCTTTCCTCGACATGTCCGTGATTGTGACCGAGGTAGCTGCTTTACGTATCACGTAGATACAAAGACTTAAACGTCGCTATTTTCAGAGGATTAGTCGATAGTTTCGAGGTATGGTAAGGTGCTGAGCATACCCACGCTCTCTTGAATGACAGTACTTGCCTCCAGTAACTTCTCATAAACATGAACATTCTGATTTCTTAAAGAAAGTCGAGCATGAAATACTTTTTAGCCTGCTTCATTAGAGAAAAAGCTGTGCCAGGAAACCATCCTTGGAGCAACGTCGGCCTCTCTTCGTACACACTCAGCCGCCAACAGCTGCGCGCTCCCGTTCCGTTCCCTGACCGCCACTACTGCCTCTTCATTTCTTCTTGTCGGTGGTGAGAACGTAGTAGTCTGAGGTGTTTTTTCCCTTGGCCGCCAGCACCTGTCCATATGCCGGAAGCCGTTCCCGCCTGTGCCGGCCCGGGGAATGTCAAAGGTGGCTGTCATCTTGTCTGGTCTGCATATCCAGCCCGTCGAAATCCGACGGCTCGCGCTCCCCGGCATGACTGAGGACCTCTCTGGGCTCGCCTATCAGATGCGAGGCTTACTTGAACGTGGGGGGAAGGTGTGGTGGCCCGACTTTGTAGGCGTGTTGTGGCACTGCGTTGTCTCTTGTTGTGCAGACTATCTTCCTCCGGCTCACCGCCACGAGTATGGCTGTCACTGCGGATGCGGAAAAAGCAAGTTGACCCTGACGCTGTACGTACCGTCACAGAGGGCGGAAGTGTTCGGTTTATAGCAGGTTCTATTTCTGTAGTTTGGATGCCTGCTACCTTCATAGAGATAAGTTGTTGATCTATGCGCCAGTCTTCACCAGATGAAAGCACGCAAAACGTCTATCACGACTACCGCAGTCAACAAGGTCTTGAAGCGCCCTGCGCTATGGAATAGTTTGGCACTCAGAAATTAAACATACTCTCCGTATGAGTCCGGTGATGTCTTTGAAATCTTAGGCGCCACTACGGCTTCCAGACTTCATGCCCCTGTTGCTGGCAATACTGTACGGACTGTAAATTTTTGAAGTCCATATCAATCATACCAGCCACTCATAAACCCAGCCTTCATTTTGAGGCCTATTTATCCCTTGTGCGATATCTTCATGGCATACCAGTACTGATATTGAGGTTTGATTCCCACCAGAGGGCATTCGACTTCCATCAGCGAGATGCCTTTCAGCCAGCGTATGCTCTGTTCAGAGACTAGTTGCAGAAGCGATCATCATCATTGCAGCTTTCCGATACGAGATTTACCACGTTATCTGGCAGGTATCTCACAGAACCTTCTGAACCAACTCGACTGTATCGAAGAAAGCTTCTCGCTCAGTGTCAACCTTAGTGAGCCCAAGTCCCACCACGAGCGTCCTGCGATCCTCGGGATCTCTCGTGGACATGAGACTGGCAATCTGTGCTGCGTAGAGCTGCCCCAGCGTTTCTCTCTCATCACCTCCACCTCCTAGAAGAGTCTTGGGCGTCAGGTGGACAGATGGGAGAAGGCCCTGGCTGGTTGAAGGCAGGCTCAGGTCAACCATGCCGCTTGTGGAAGCTTGCAAAGGTACTTGGATCTTTAAGAATGGTCAGTAAATCAACTTTGAACAAATCTCAGGGAGACTTCGAGGACGCACCCATTGCGAGAGCTTGCCGTCTTGTGAGATTGTCAATACAAACTTGTCGGAAAAGGAAACTGAAGTGACTTCTGTTGGGACGCCGTTTACTGTTCCCGTTTCCTGCCTGCTTCGTGCGGGGAAGGCCTCTTCTCTGATTCCCTGAGGTTCCATCGTGTTGGATGTCCCGAGATAGTACCTTTGGGGGACAGAATGATTTTGTATTGAGTCTTCTCGATTTTGGGAAGTGCCTGTACTATTTGATCGTGTAGGCGTATGATGTAGGTTGTTTATTAAAGTCTCAAGTTGGACTTGTAGGTTAACTCGGACTGCAGCCAGTGAGGGACTCGTCGGACCCACAGCTGCGGGCGACAGGGGTGTGAATCGCCCCGCACTAGGCCGAAAATAGCCAGAGGACTGGCGGTCAAGACGGCAGAACCTTTTCCATCCAAAAATTTCCAGAATTTGGCAGTGCATCTTAGCGATCCTCAGCGTTGAGTGAGAGAAACGTGAGACTTCACTTAACGTGCATCTCCTAATCTTGATACCCTTGTTAGAATGCCAATTTCCTGGCGGTATTGACAATTGTTTTGCAACGCATTTTTCCAAAATTTGATCGCTTTTCTAGGCTTCGACGGCTTGATCAGATTTCACCTGGATCAGCAACGAAACTCGGTCTCATCCGCCTAAACTTTTTCTAGTGAGGTGAGAGGCCGCATAAGAAACAGCGATTTTTGCTTCAGTCCAAAGCAACACCACACACCACGAAGGATCTGCGTTGAAGACAAATTCGACCTTGTCATTGTCACACAAATAAAGATGGGAAAATTCGTCCCAAGGCAACGAAAGCACAAGGTGCTCGCTCGCGAGAGGGCCAAGGAGAACGGCACCATCCCCCAGGACTCGAATGCGGATGAGATTCTCCCCGAAGACCAGAAGCGTCTCCAGGAAAAGAGAGCGCAGCTCAAGGCCGAATTACAAGGAGACGGTGCCAAGGCCAGCGGCAAGAAGGCGAAGCGGTTGGAAAAGTACATCACCAATAAGCTTCGCAAAGATGAGAATCGCGAAATCCTCGCCAAGCTCGCGCAACAAAAGGTCGACACGAGCCTGTTCACGAGCACCAAAACTCTCGGTCAGGGCAAGGAGTCCAAACGCCAGGCTTTGACGAGGGCGTTGCGGGAGAAGAACGCCGGGTTGGCAGTCGACGCGGATGCAGAGGAGCTGCTTTATGAGGAGAGAGAGGAGGCCCCCGAGGTGGATTCTGACGACAGCGAAGATGAGACTTCAAAGGCACCCAAGTCGCAAGCTCCCAAGGCCACAGTCAAGGCACCTGCGCCGGTATCAGCAGCGAAAGCAAAGTCAACACCGATCTCGCCTCCACAAGCACTAGCACCTGAACCGACACCTACACCTGCACCTACATCAAAGCCGGAACCGCAACCCGCCGCATCTATAGGCTCTGGTCTGAAGCGTCCATTAGATGTCGATGATTCGGGACGGCCGGTGCTTCAGAAGCGTCAAAAGAGAGGTGGCGTAACCTCCAAATTCTCCATTGCTGAACCAGAGAAAGCGAAGGATGCAGAGGACGAATGGAACGGCCTGAGCGATGATGCAGAGGACAAATCAAGCGATGAGGATGACAATTCAGCCGAGGAATCTGAAGAATCAAGCGAAGGCTCCGGAGAGTCTGAGGAAGACAACGAAGATGAAGACGAAAGCGAGGACGATGAAGAGTCTACCAGCACAAGGCAGTCTGCCTTCAAGGCCTGGGCTCTTGCGCAAAGAAACGAGGCCCTTGGTTTTGAGGGAACAACAGCGGCCTCCACAGCACTGGAAATTCCTAGACCAGAGAATTTTGAGCCACGCCCGCTTGAGCAGGAACCGCTGCCTCAGGAACTACAGCCGACAACAAACCTTGCACGCAAGGCATACGCTGTCGCTGTGACGAGAACGCCAGAGATCCAGGAAGTCCGCATGAAACTGCCGGTGGTCGCTGAGGAACAGAAGATTATGGAGATGATTCACAATAACGACATTGTCGTCGTATGCGGTTCTACAGGTTCCGGTAAGACGACTCAGGTGCCGCAATTCTTGTATGAGGCTGGGTACGGTTCTCCTGGCTCTGCTACTCCGGGCATGATTGGCGTCACGCAGCCCCGACGAGTTGCTGCCGTGAGCATGTCAAAACGTGTTGCGCAAGAATTAGGCGACCACTCGGACAGAGTCGGATACCAAATTCGATTCGAGGGTACAGCTTCGGCCAAGACGGCCATCAAGTTTATGACGGATGGTGTGTTGCTGCGAGAGATGGGGCAAGACTTCTCTCTGAAGAAATACTCGGCAATCATTATCGACGAAGCTCACGAAAGAAGTGTCAATACAGATATCCTCATTGGAATGCTGAGTCGTATCAACAACATTCGCAAGGGCGACGACAAGGTCGATCCCTCGATCAAGCCACTCAAGATCATCATCATGTCCGCGACGCTAAGAGTCGAAGACATGACCAACAACACCACACTATTCCCCACCCCGCCTCCTGTGGTCGAAGTCGAAGGAAGACAACATCCTGTCACGATCCATTTTGCAAGGCGGACACAGTCTGACTTCGTCGAGGAGGCCTTTAACAAGATTATGCGTGGTCACAGGAAGCTACCGCCAGGAGGCTTTTTGGTATTCCTTACCGGTCAAAATGAAATTAGGTATCTGAGCAAGCGCCTGAGGGAAGCATTTGGTGGCTTTACCGAAGCTAGCGCACCCAAGGTCCAGATCTCAGCCACCGATGCGCCTATGGAAGTCGAAGATATCGACTTTGGCGAGGTTGACGATGCCATCGGTGCCGACATCGATGACGGCCTCGATGAGGATGAGGACATGGAGCACGAGGACGATAAGGAGTTCGAAATTGAAGGAGAGGAGGGAGAAACGGGACCCATGAAGATGCAAGTCTTACCCCTTTACTCTCTCCTGCCGACTAAGGAGCAGATGAGGGTATTTGAGGATCCCCCCGAAAATCATCGTCAGGTCATCCTGGCAACCAACGTTGCGGAAACCAGTTTGACGATTCCGGGCATCCGTTACGTCTTTGACTGTGGCCGGTCCAAAGAGCGCCAATACGACCGCTTTAGCGGAGTACAAACTTACGAAATTGGCTGGATCAGCAAGGCCAGTGCCAGCCAGCGTGCCGGTCGTGCCGGTCGTACGGGGCCCGGTCACTGCTACAGACTCTACTCCTCAGCCGTGTACGAGAGAGACCTGCCCGAGTTCACGGACCCCGAGATCCTGCGGATGCCCGTCGATGGTGTCGTGCTCCAGCTCAAGGCGATGAACCTCTCCAACGTCGTCAACTTCCCCTTCCCGACGCCGCCGAACCGTATGGGTCTCCGCCAGGCCGAGAAGCTGCTCACCTACCTCTCGGCCATCGCGCCGGAAGGCCAGATTACAAAAATCGGATCGACAATGTCCATCTTTCCGCTCTCGCCCCGCTTCGCCCGCATCCTCCTTGTCGGCCACCAGCACGACTGCCTACCGTATACCATCATGATGGTGGCGGCGCTCTCGGCCGCCGAGGTGTTTGTCCCGGAACACCAGGCGATCCCCTCCCTCGAGGCGCGCGACGAGTCCGAGTTCCGCCGCACCGCCGACATCATCGCCGAGGATCGCCAGGCTAATATCAGACGCCTCTTCAACGCTGCGCACAAGAACTTCTGCTACCTAGACGACAGGTCCGACGCCATCAAGCTCCTGCAGGTCGTCGGCGAGTACGCCCACGACCCGACGGAGAAGTGGTGCGAGGACCACTTTGTCCGCTATAAGGTCATGAAGGAGGTGACGCAGCTGCGCCAGCAAATCACCGAGCTCCTCCGCGCCAACATCCCCGCCTTCAAGAACCTCAAATACCAGGACCGGCTCGACGCCCCCTCGGACAAGCAGGTCGCCTACCTCAAGCAGATGGTGGCCGCCGGCTTCATCGACCACGTCGCCCTGCGCGCCGACAAGGCCCCCGTGCCGCCCGAGGTGACGCGCAAGCCCGGCCGCGCCATCGACGTGCCCTACATCCCGCTCTCGCCGCTCGGCGTCGGCCACGGCGCGGAGAAGTACATCTACATCCACCCGACGTCGTCGCTCGCCCACCTCAGCCCGGCCGAGTGCCCCGAGTTCGTCGTGTACTCGCAGCTCCAGCGCGCGACGCAGGGCGCCGACGTGAACAAGACGCCCAAGACCAGGATGCTCGCGCTCACGGACGTCACGGGCGGGCAGCTCGCGAGCTTGGCCAAGGGCACGCCGCTCGTGAGCTACGGGAAGCCGGTCAAGGAGATTTCGTCGACGGCGAATACGCGCGAGGTGTGGGTTGTGCCGTACCTCAGGGCCGAAGGGGTCGGTGGTCAGGGGTGGCCGTTGCCGATGAAGAAGGTCGTGCAGCGCAGGGTTGCTGGTAAGGGATGGGTTGTTGAATGAAACGCGGGGGAATCAAAAGTTGGTATAAGCATATTTTCAAAAGAATAGAATGGATCACAAGACATTCACTGTTACTCTTATCATCTCCACCTTGGCGGCGATAATGAATCGTCGATTTACGGTGTTAAAAATTCGGCTTCTCCCAATTAGTCGAAACTACAACACGAGGCCGACTAGAGTCAGTTCCTTTTCCCTCTGATTCAGTCCTTCACCAGTCGTACCGGCAGAGCCGCTTGTACATGAGCGAATCGGGTGAGAAGGTACCTTTGGACGGAAACTCCTCCTCGCCCCAATGCCAAACCTCTCAAAACAAGAGTCAAAACCGGCCGGTGATCCAAACACGTGGCGAGCTGGGCCGGTTGAATCGGTTCATAAACCTGAACCTTCTTTTTCCGACACAGGGGTTCTCTTCGCACTCAGTATGGGCCATGCGTTCTCCTCCCTCCTTCTCCGTCTTTCTGTTTTCATCGGCTCGTTCGCGGATGAAAGGGGAGGGGGGGAAGGCAAGTCTGAGATTCAGGCCTCGAGTAATACACGGCACACACACTCGGACACGGGTGGCCCTAAGGGAACTTCGGACGAAGGAAATTGTGAAGCGGGTAAAGCTGCAGATGCACGCCCGTGGCCGGGCCCGAGCGAGACTTGACTTGTACTGTCTTTTTCCTTCGAGAAGGACGTTTTCCGTTTGTTCTAGTGTCATTTGTTGTCGATTCTATTCGTTCATCGAAGGAATACCAAATTTCTGACCTTTTTAAACGAAGCCGAAGTGAAGCCCAAGATAGCACGCGGGGTATAGCCGACTATCGTGACGACGACCAACAAGCTTTACTTGTTGCTGATTCATACTTCAAACTTATTTCTTTGTTTACAAAATCGTTTCAATTTGGAATTCACTCTGCTCGAGTGTGGACTAGAGGGCTCTTACGCAATACCGTACCCGTCACAGGACCGTCGTTACTTACAGAGAGTCCCCCCTCCCTCTTCCGGACCTGGCTCCGATGATATTGCAACAGCAGAGGTCGACCTGGAAGGAAAACGAAGCCCTCATTGACGAATGCATGAGCGCCCTCCGCGAGATTGAGATGAAAATGACACTCTTCTCAGGCGTCGCCGTCGTCACCGGCGCTGCTTCAGGTAAGGTCACACGTCAAAATCTTTGACTCTTGAACGCCATAACATCCAATCATGAAATCAAAAAATAGGCGAGAGTAAGGATGAGATAGAACATAAGACTGGGACTGACAGAGGGAACTCAGGCATCGGCCGCCAGGTGGCAATCTCGTTCGCCCGTGAGGGTTGCAAGCGCATCGCTCTGCTCGACAGAGACGAGGACGGCGCGCTGGAGACGGCTCGCATGTGCCGGGAGGCCAACGGGGAGACGCGCACTTTTGTCATGGAGATTGACAACCGCAACGACGAGGACATTGCTTCGTGTATGGAGAATGTTGTCGAGGAATGGGGCCGGATCGATTATGCAGTCAACTGTGCTGGTGAGTTTATTCAGGATTGTCCTTTGACGTCCCTGAGCATACCGGGAAGACTATTGACGGTAATATGAAGGCATGTTTGGACCAAAGGCACCGTCACACCTCCTGACGCCCGCCGAGTTTGACGAGATCACCAATATCAACTACCGCGGCACATGGCTATGCTCACGAGCGGAGCTCACGCACATGATTAAGCAGGAATCCATGAAGACGCACGACGGCAGACCAGGGAACCGGGGGGTCATTGTCAATGTTGCGAGTAATCTCAGCCTGGTTAGCCGGCCAGAGACACGTGAGTCCAAGCCGAAAATTCGTCCTTTCTTCCATGTGTGAAGGACCACAGCTGACAAGGATGATAGCGGCCTATAACGCTTCCAAGGCGGCTATCTTGAGTATGACGAGAAGCGATGCCATCGATGTGGGTTTTCTTCTACGACGAGAGACTCCAAGTCTGACTGCTAGTAGTATGCAAAGTACAATATCCGCGTCAACTGCGTGTGCCCAGGGATCATTGAGTAAGTTCTGGGAGTTAACTGGATGAAGGGTCTTGATCATGAAAGCTGACCGAGGCAATTCAGCACGCCAATGACAAGCGAAGTCTCATCAGACGATCCCATGATCGCAGTAGCGCCAATGAAGCGGAAAGGAACGCCGCAAGAAGTTGCCGATGCCGTCTTATTTCTCTGTAGCTCCAAGGCATCCTTTATTCACGGCGCCTCATTATCCGTCGACGGCGGCTACGTTATCAACTAAGACTGAGTCTCTTTGGTTCCCTTGGTTTGATCTGTTGGACTATCAAAATAAGGATGAGAGAGAGACATAAATAGAAATGGACAGGAACATGGCCTATAGAGAAGATTGGCCATGAAGAAGCCAGTTGAAGAGAAGCCTGGCGAGAAGATTGAGATCAGTGAATCATAGATAACATTGTTGGGAGACCATCGAAACAAACTTGCAGAGTGTAAATACAGTCACTTGCGTCAATCAAAAGTAGACTTACGACGTTCACTTTGCCATTGCTTAGCGCTGTATTGTCTAAGCCCTGGGAGTATTGAAGACGAAGTAAGGGCAAAATGTAGTACGCGTAATGTCGCAGTCTTGGCAGAAAATCACTAAAGTCAGAATAACAAAGTCTCCGAAGCGTTTTCTACTTGTTGCGCAACGTTCGGGCGGTGATCTTCTTGTGGGATTTATCCTAGTATTGAAATAGAAAGACTAGCGCGATACGACGCCATTCAAAGTACCCGAAAAGTCTCCATGATCTACACTCTCACTAGACTATATGTAAGACACCTTTCGCTCACAACATTGAGATGACAATCTAAATCAATCTAGCCAGAAGCCCAATTCAGAATAACCATCACTCAAAATGACATCTAAAACACCAAGAATCCTCATCGTCGGCGCAACCGGCCAGACGGGAAGCGCAACAATCGCAGCCCTCGCCTCAACCCCCAACCCGCCTCAAATCCTCGCCCTCACCCGCTCCCCATCCTCTCCCAAATCACAAGCCCTTCTCAAACTATTCACAAACCGCCATTCATCAGCATCCACAACAACAACAACTACACCACCATCATCACCAATAACCCTCATCCAAGGCACCCCCGAAAACCCATCCCCCATCTTCGCCTCCCACCCAGACATCTCCGCCCTCTACCTCGTGACCGTCCCACCGGGAGACGAAGCGCAAGCCATACCCCTCATCGACGCGGCAATCGCCCACAAGGTACCGCACATCGTCTTCTCGAGCGTCGACCGCGGAGGCGACGAGCGCTCGTGGACGAACCCGACGCCCGTGCCGCACTTTGCGGCCAAGCACCGCGTCGAGGTGTACCTCCGCGACAAGACGCGCGGGACGCCGACCAGGTGGACGATTTTGAGGCCGGCGGGGTTCATGGATAATTACCGTGCCGAGGCGGGGGTTATGGGCTCCGTCATGGGCGGGCTGTGGGCGACGATGCCGGCGGGTGGGAAGAAGATGCAGCTTGTTAGCGCGAGAGATATCGGGCTCTTTGCGGCTCGGGCGCTGATAGAAGGTCCTGGTACTGAGGATGAAGGAGGAGGATGGGGTGGTAGGGCGCTGGGGCTCGCTGGTGATGAGATTGGGTTCGACGACGCGGAGAAGGTATTTGAGAGGGTTGTTGGGCAGAGGATGCCGAGGACGTGGGGGGTTGTCGGTCGGGGTGTGAGGTGGGCCTTTGAGGATGCCGGGAGGAGTATGGAGTGGTTTGAGAAGGAAGGGTATAAGGCTGATGTTGCGATGTTGAGGGGCATGGAGCCGAGGTTGCAGAGCTGGGAGACGTGGTTGAGGGAGAGTAGTGGGTGGGTGAAGGATGATGAGTGAAAAGGGGGTTCAGAGAGGCTCAATGGAGTTCAGCGATGATGTTTGATACCATTTTCTAGGGGTTTGAAGAGCGCCAAAGACTATTGATTTCCATATATGTCAGATCTCTGCTTGAACTGTGTATGATCATTAAGTAAATATGAGGGACGGGCTGAGTAGGGATGCCTGATCTAGCTAAAGCTCTGTACGCTGCCTCCTTCCTGATCATAGGCCAGGCTATGGAAGGTTTTGGGATGGAAAGTGTAGGCGAGCCCAATCCACTGCGCAGGACGCCTCGGAATACCAGCAGAATACCCGCGAGGCTCCATAGCCGATGAATCATCGCCAACTCTCAACAACAAGTACCTGGGCCGTATGGTCGAGGGGTTCATCGGGCTGCAGAGGCCCCGACTAGACAGTGAAGTCTCCTGTCTATTTCGGGATCCAAGTTCGATTCCTCGGTCGGTCGGAACATTGTTGTTTTTTGTCTTTTTCTTTTTCTCTCTGTAAGAAAAATAATAAAAGGCATGCTTTCCTAGGCAAAAGGGGGGTATCATTACTAAATCAAAACGCTATGAGTGTGTCGAATCCATCTCTTCTTCTTTCTTGCTTCTTGTCCTCCCGAATAAGTTCTCACGAAGACGGACCAGGCGTCGTAGCCGGCGTCGCAATCTTACTCTTCTTCCTCTTCGGCTTCGGCCCGTTGGGCGTCTTGGGACTCTTCCCCTCCTTACCCTCCTTCTTGGCCTCTTCCGCCAGCTTAGTATTAATCACCGGCTTGGGCTGTGCCGACGACGGCGGAGGCGGCGGCGCAATCTTGTCCTTGCGTCCCGTGCTCGCAAAGTGGAAGTCGCCGGGCCTGCCCGTGATCGGGTTCTCGTCAAAGTAGTCGCCGCCGTGCCGCATGTGGATCGCAAAGGACTCCTCCGCCAGCCTGTCGAGCGCGTTGGCAGTTGTGTCCTTTTTGCTGTTGCTGCTCGATTTGGCGCCCGCCGAGGCCTTGCTGCCGTTCGTTGCGCCTTCGGCGGCGGGTGTGTCTGCTGCTGCCGCTGTTGCCGATCCATCTTTCGCGCGGGCGAGGGCTGAGGGGGGCGTCGGCTGGGTGTAGACGTGACCTAGGGAGGGCGTCCACTTGCGTACGCTGTCGGCCGCGGGAAGAACCTTTCTCATTGATTCGGCAATTGATTCCTGATGTTATGTTAAACCTCCATCATCCTTCCAAAAGAGTGCTATCTCTCGTGGGAGACAGGGAGGGAAGGGGGGACCTACAATCCTCGAACTGAGAAGATCGCCCAGCGTCGGCGCCTGATAGATATTCTCCCCGACGACAAAGTAATACGCCAGGGGCTTCGTCTCCATGCGCCCGCGGTCGAGGTTCTTCTGCCTCGTCTGCTTGACAATCGTCCACACGCCCGTGCCCATGACCATGTCGGCGGGCGCGTGCAGGACCCTGAACTCGAGCCCGGCCATCTTATCGAGCTCGCTCTCGAACGCCTCGCGCGTGGCGAGGTTCTTGAGTAAGGCCGGGTTGAACATGGCCTGATTCGTGATGACGGCGTTGTTGGACTGGCGGTCGAAAAAGGGCGACTCGGCAAAGTAGAAGAGCACGCTGTTGGAGTGGATGCCCTGCATCGAGGCCGCGATGTCGGGGGCGCGCCATTGGATCTCGTCCAGGGGCGGGTCGTTTGGGTTGGCCATTGTGGAGGGGGAACTTCGGTCGTTGGAGGGAGGTATGTCGAATGAGTTGTTGACGAGTCGTTTCGTGCTGGATATGCGTGGGTGACGTTCGGAGGGCGGATTGCGGAGCTTTCTGAGCCGGAGTGGAAGCTCTCCAACTTTTGTATCGTGGGGCCGGAGCTTGTTCGACTGCAGGGGCTGGATCGACAGGGGTGGTTTTGCGGGGAGCCATCACGTGATGGTTCTGCCTGCCGACAATCTTCAAGCTCCCGGATCTTCAATATGAATGGAGCTTACTCAACAACAACCATTGCCATCATCAAGTACCAACAACACAGAAGACAACCCCTTACCAAAAGAAATCCACCGCGAGAAAACCAAAACACCAATACTCAAAGAAAAAAAAAACATCAAAGCAAATCGAACAACCCCCAAAAATGGACCTCCTCTCGAGCGTCCGCAAATCCGGCTCCCGCGGCGGCGTCAACTTCAGCTGGGACGAAGTCGCAAACTCGTCCCACCGCGAAAACTACCTCGGCCACAGCCTCAAAGCCCCCGTCGGCCGCTGGCAAAAGGGCCGCGACCTCAATTGGTACGCCAAGGGCGACGGCGACGACGCAGGAGCGGTCGAAGGCGAGACGGAACAAGAGAGGCAGGAGCGCGCGCGCAAAGAGGAGCTGCGCAAGATCAAAGAGGCCGAGGAGGACGCGCTCGCGCGCGCGCTGGGATTACCTGTGCCGCAGCGGGATTCGTCGGGCGCGAATGCCGTTGAGGTGAGCGGGGCCAGGGGGATCGGCGGTGCTGGTGCTGGTGATGCGAAGCCTGTAGAGGAGGAAGGGGCCAAGGGCGGGCTCGTTGTCAGCGAGAAGAGGGAGCGCAGGGATCGGGATGAGGATAGGGAGAGAAGGCGGAGGCGGAGTCGTAGTCGTAGCCCCCGGCGAGAGAGGAGGAGGGATGGCGAGAGGAGGCGGAGTCGGGAGAGGGACATGGATCGCGGGGAGGAGAGGCACCGCCATCGCCGTGGTGAAGGACGGGAACATGGTGGTCGAGAACGCAGGGATCGCGACCGTGATGAGGGACGGGAGAGGCGGCATCATCGTAAGGCGAGAAGCCGGAGCCGTGAGGGCGGTGAGCGAGAGCGCGGGCCGAGAGAGCATCGACGGCGGAGCAGAAGTAGAGAGGGTCAGCGGCCGCGGTCAAGGGACCGCCGACGCAGTCCCGATGAGCGCCGTCGATAAAGGTCGGTAGACTGGTGAGCGTGGTGAGACCGAAGAGACAGAACAATGATACCCACGTCGCTTCTGATTTGTAAACAAGCGCATAATACAGTTCACAAGAACATCCACCCTCAAAATAGCGTTAAACGAGACCCATCAAGCGACTCGTGCCTGGTCATTAGAATAACATACACAATGTCACCGTATGCGAATCTATAGCCCGTTATGGCTTGGTAGAGATCTTTTGACCAGTGACTTTGCAAATATAGAGTCCCAGTATCAGCCTCATCATCGGACTGGTCTGCAGAATGATCCAGCCCCTGGGGCACACATAAACGCCGACATCTACCTCAGTGCTCCTGCTTTTCATCACCCCGAACGCCAGTCCCAAATAAGTACAATACCCTCCTTGACAGTTCGAAATCGCAGAACAGCTCAAGCGCTGAACGATGTTACGTAGTACTGTGAGTAGTCAGCCAGTGTTCTCTCCTAAGCGCATGCAAGGGATCTCTTACGGTCAGTACGGCGTCGTCTGCCGTGGCATCGTCATACTGCGGCACGTAAACATAGAGAATCAAAGCATGATCATCTGCGAAAGCAGCAACGACTCTCCCCTCGAGCCTCCCCACACTCAACACCCGGCTCCAGTCCTTGCCATCCACTCGCACCGTTGCCCACTTCTCCGGGCCACCCTCCTTGAACTTGACGCTTGGGTGCTCTTCAACAGGCATCTCCAGCTGCGTGGGATCCAACTCCGGATTGACGAGTCCCGACCATGTACTCGAGACATCGACGGCCTCGGTGGCGATCCGCAGCTTCAGGTTACCAAACATGTTGGCGCTGAGCTCCAGCTTGGGGCTCACGCGGGAGTTTGTGCCGGACGAGAGCGCGAGCTTGGTGAAGCGGTCCGAGATGGCCTTGAGCTGGAGCAGAGGCGGCATGGTGATGTGCACGTCTGTCTCGCGCACCGTGGGCTGCATGATTGTCTCTACCGTCTCTGGATGCAGCACCCGGACGGGAATGTCCTGGGTGATGATCTTCTCGCGCTCGCGGCGCAGAGACGTCTCTAGATGCTCAGCGGCGAACCCCTGGTCGTCCTCGTCAAAGGGATCATTTTCAAGACCGGCGTAGGCGGCGTTGCGGCCCGGGAGACCTGACCCCGAGGAGGCGTTCGTCGTGGTCGTGATGGTCATGGACAGCACGGGGACTCCATCCTTCTTGGTGAGACGCAACGAGGCGGAGGTGCTGTTGAGCGCAGAGCGCAGGGCACGTTGGAGGGGTTGGAGTGGTAGCTCTAGGTTGATGGTGTTGTGGTCTTCGGCCGATTGGATGTGGTAGCTGTCAAAGATGAAGTCCATGGGTAGAGAACTGGAACCATGATTCAGCAACTATAGCTTCTCAAGACGCTTCCAGAGTCAGAGTGCAGCAATCTTACGACCAGACTTGAGAACCCGTGTCGGGAATGACGGTGAAGCGTGCTGTTTCATCGTCTAGGCGAACCCATGCGATCTTCTCGAGCGAATTGAGGGCAGCGGTGAGCTCTGTAAAGCAAAGGGAACGGCCAGAGAGTCAACAAGGGAACCCGAGGTTGCAGCAAAGCCGGCCGGCCGGCAAGCAGGTAAGGTAGGCAGGCTTGGGGTGTTGTGGGTTCAAACGCACTGGAAAAGGTACGGATGTTCTTGAGCTCCGTCTTGAATCGCATTTTCGAAATCTCGATCTCTCAGCGAGATGGCCGTCCGTCCGTCCGTAAATAAATGAAAAACCTTATAGGTACAGGGAGTCACACAAACAGAAAGAAACACCCGGCTGCAGTTGACTGGGTAAAGGATGTTGGGTACGGGCGGAGAGGTAGGGGGGGAAGCTGATTACCTCTTTTGGTGTAGACGCGTAAAGTGGAAAGAGAAACGACGCGATCTTGCCTTTCAGAGGTGCGTTGCAGTGTGCGGTACGCCGTCGTGCGTGGTGCTGCCACTGGCAGGGAGAAGGCACCGAGCAAAGGTGGTACATGCCTGCCAATGCCTGCCGCCACGCTGCACTGCAGGCGCTGCCAGCAAAGATGGTCTGCAGAAAACGGCACGGAAGTCTTTAGCGCGGGGCATCCACCCCTGCCTAGCGTGTCCACATTGG